CTCAGGTCCAGCATATGAGTACCAGGGTCAGAAAAAAAAAAAAGGCTTATCTGAGAATGAAGCCCACTGGAGGTGGGGTGGTGGTAAAATCTATATATCAACTTGGCTAGGCTATATACTATATCCAGATATTTGATCATTTATTAAAGTTGCTATGAAGATGTTTTTCTTTTCTTTCAGATGAGCATAGCACTTGTCAATAGACTTTGTGCAGTCACCTTCTATAATACAGGTGGACCTCATCCAATTAGTTGAAGGCCTTAATAGAAAAAAAGACTAATATTCTCTAAGAAGAAGACATTTTGCCAGTAGGCTGGCTTTGGACTTGAACTAAAATATCAACTCTTTCTTGGGTTCCTAGCTCATAGACCTGCCTTGCAGATTTGGGGCTTACTATCCCTTACAGTTGTGTGAGTCAGCTTCAATTTCCTTCCTTCCTTCTTCCCTTCCTTCTTCCCTCCCTCCCTCCCTCCCTCCCTCCCTCCCTCCCTCCCTCCCTTCCTTCCTTCCTTCCTTCCTTCCTTCCTTCCTTCCTTCCTTTCTTTTCTCTCTTTCTCTCTTTCTTTTTCTTTCTCTCCTTTCTTTTCTCTTTCTCTTTCTTTTTCTTTCTCTCTCTCTTTCTTTCTTTTCTCTCTTTCTTACCTTTATGATACTGGGGATTGGCTGAGTTGTGCATGTATCCTCTTTTGTTGTGGTTGTTTTGTGTTTGAAATAGGGCATTGCTTTGACCTGGCTAGCCTTGAACTTGTGATCCTCTTGTCTGTGCCTCCCCACTAGCTAGAATCACCAGCATGCTACACCTCCCTGTTGAGCCAATTCTTTAAAACATATATATTCTATTTCTTTAGAGAATGCTAATTAAAACAGGATAGCATATTGATGGCTATGTTTTAGCATCTGGACCCAGCTCAACCTGGTATCAAATAGCCCTGGCCTTTTCACTTAAATGGTCCTCTTGAGTTGAATTTCTGTCATTTGAAACCCCAAGGGGCCTTCTCAAGAGGAAACAGCAAACTCTTGCTGAGAGCACTCAGTTCATTCCAAGCCTACAGCTCCCCTTTTAGAATCACTTAGGCCTTAAAGGCTGAATAGCAGTTCATCTGGGTTTGAGTAGAGGGAACGATGTGTGAAGACAGAGGAAAGTGATGGGCAAGGCAAGACCAGGAAACTAATGCATTCAATGTAGTGAAGGAAGAGATTGTAAGAGCAAGGATGGAAAAGTGGTCAGGGGACAGGAGATACTGAGCTTTGCATGTTAGATAAGAATTTGTCCGGAGGCAGCAAGGAATATTGAAGATTTTTCAAGCAGAGAAGAGTCATAATCGGATCCAGGCTTTGATTGGCTAGTTCTGCAATGTGGGAAAACACAAGAAACAGAAAACAGGGGCTGGGAAGGTGGCTCAGTGGTAGAGCGCTTGCCTTGCATGCCTGAGGCCCTGGGTTCAATTCCTCAGCACCACATAAGCAAAAAGAAAAAAGCCGGAAGTGGCGCTGTGGCTCAAGTGGTAGAACGCTAGCCTTGAGCTGAAGAGCTGAGGGACATCGCCCAGGCCCAGAGTTCAGGCCCCACGACTGGACCCCCCCCCCCCAAAAAAAAAGAAACAGAAAACAGAACGAGGACCAATTTTCTGGCTGAAGTTTTTTTTTCCCCCTTTTCTTTCTGATCCTTCTGAAATCAGATTCTGTGCCATTTCTTACTTGTCTAATATAAGTGTTATAGTACCATGGTTAATGGCCTAACTCCTGGAACTACTTTGCCTATGTCTGCCACTTACTATCTGTTTAATCTTTGGCATGTTACTGAACATTTTGGTTCTTCAGTTTCCTCCATGGAGATTGTGATATTGTCTTCATCTCAGAGTTGATGTTTTTAAGGATGAAATGCATGGCTATGGGTTTGAAGCCCTTCACCGTGTTGATGCATAAGCATCTGGTATCCATGCTCCTCAATTAACAATGGGATTACAACTTAGATGGGGTTAATGTTCTGCTAACCCCAACTGTGTTAGTCAGCTTTTCACTAATATGTTTTTAAAAAGTCTGAAACAATCAACTTTTATCTTATTTTTGCCAGTCCTAGGGCTTGAACTCAGAGCCTGGGCACTATCCCTGAGCTTCTTTTGCTCAATCAAAGTGGTACTCTACCACTTGAGCCAAAGTGCCACTTTCAGCTTTTTCTATTTATGTGGTATTGAGGAATCAAACCCAGAGCTTCATGCATGCTAGGCAAGCACTCTACCACTAAGCCACATTTCCAGCCCTTGAAACAATCAACTTGAAAGAGGAAATGCTTATTTAGGGCTGCAATTTTGGAATTCAAGTCCATGATCAAGTAGACCTTTTGATTTTGAGCCAGTAGCAGGATTGCCCATCATGGAAGCAGTGCATGGCATGCAGTGCATGGCGGAGGAAACCCTTGCATCACAGCCAGAAGTCAGTCCCCAAAGAGTCCCCATTAGCACCCATCGCTTGAAGTTTCCACCACCTCTCAACTCAGGGGCCTTCAGAGAAGAGTCCAAATTTAGACTATACTCCCATCAAAGTTGAAAGTATGGTAAGTAAAAGATGCACTTGAAAACAGATTTTTTAAAAATGTACTTGACACTCATTGATAGAGCATCATCTCTTAGCCATGCAGTATGGAATAGGATGGCTGTATCTCTCATGATCTTGGGGCTGACTGACAGCTGTGGCTCACTGCTGCAGCTCGGAATCACCAGGGTTGATCCTACTATTTATGCAAATCCAGGAAAAGGTCAAAATTCAAAATTCATAGTGTGGCTTTTAGTGAATGTCATGTTGTAAAGTTGAGCCACAGTAAATCAGAGACAGTTGGTCATCAGTAGCACTCTAGATCCCTACTAAGAGGGGTAGGGGGCTTCTGGGCTGCAGATCCCTACCCGAGGATGACAGCTGTGGCCCTCTGCCCTCTCTGTGTTGGGCAGCACACCTGCCTTTCCTGGGAAGTCCATGCCTATCCCCCTAGTTCTCACAAAGTCAGGGCTAGCCTGGGTCCTAGGGGTCAGGGAAATGTTACCACTGGGAAGGAAGAGGACATGGCTCTGAGCTCTGAAAACAGCCTTTTATCCAAATTTGAGATTTAAGAATTGGACTGGAACTGGGCGAGAATGAGGTTCCCAGATACACAGGCCCAAAGGAAGTGTCTCAGGAGCAAAGGCCATATACGCAGCTCTTTCACTATGACTGCCAGAGACAGAAGTTGAGAGGCTCAAAGCCATTTCAGCTGCCCTGGGGACTAGCTGTGGGAAGCAACTTCAATGAGAGCTAGAATGTGGAGAGTCAAAAGGTACCAGAATTGTCAGCCTTAGAGGTTTATGTCTCTATTGTGTGGTACAGAAATATGGCATCCTACCACCTTGGGCCCAGATAGTGTCCTGATAGTGTTGATTCTAAGGTAGCAAACAAGGTCACCTAGCGGGCCAGTGTTTGGAGGTTTCACAACAAGGTCACTCAGTGGCTTCTGTCAGCTCATTTAAAAAAATTATTGTCAAGGTAGTATACAGAGACTGTCAGCTCATTTTTGCTGCATGTGGGACAGAATGGAGTGTCCGTGATATTCATATTTGATCACCAAAGAGCATCTCCATGTCTAGTCCAGCTCCTTTGTAGACTCTGGCCTCAGCTCAGTTTCTCATGTTTTCCCAAGCAGGCCAGAAACTGCTTTTGGCACCAACTTTATACAAATTCTCTAGATCTTTTCACTTAGCCAATTGATGCTAACTAATCTGCTGTGTACTTTGGGTTCAATATGGGGCATCTTTCCAAAGGGAGCTGATTTCTTTGATGACAGTAAAGAGGCTCATGGTAGCCCACATTCCTTACCAGCCCTCTATGACCTTATGATTCAGGAATTAATGTCTTCCCCATTGCCAACCTCTTTCTTCCTGCCTTGCCCAGTAGCATGCCTCGCTTTCCCTTCCCGCTTTACCATCTCACTCATCAAGTCCCCATAAGCACTGTCTCATTCACTCTGAGGTGTCAATAATTAAAAACAGCTAGAGCTGAATTTCAAATGGTGTGATTCCAGGCACTTCAAAGTGAAGGACTCCACAATGCTGTTTGTAGATCACCAGAGGACATAGTCATCATGTAATTCCAGACTATTAACTGTCCTTCAGTTTGGGCAAGAATTATTCTGCATAATTAGTCCAAAATCTAAGGCCCCTACCCTTATAGCATAGATTAAAGGTAAGCATCCATCCAAAGCTTGGCACACAGTAGAGGTCAGCAAATAAGGTTCCCTCTTCTTACTTTGGGTTTGGAATTGTTCCAGAGCCAAGTGCTAGATAAGAAAATGCAAGAAGTTCCTCCACATGACTGTTCTCACACCATAGGCCTCCTAGTCCTCATCCTCTGTTCCAAGCTGACCTAGATTTCTGTCACCTCTTCATATCAGGCCCAGATCACAGCTCTGGGAGACGTTTCTCACCACTAAATAGGGATCAATGTGGAGTTTTTTATTTGATAGCCTTGAATCTGTTGCTCAAATTCACATTCACTCACATAAGCTGAAAAAGAAATCTGTTTTTTTATTAATGAGCTGGGAGTAAGATTTGTAGCATTCAGAGGGAAAAGAGGAATGAAGGAAAGAATAGAAAAGACACAGAGTTATGTCCAATTAAGGCTCAAGGAAGCCAGGGGTCTCCTAGAGCTGGGAGAGGCCAAAGTCACAATGTCAGAAGCTAGAAACAAGAGCCCAGACCCATGAAGTCCTGTCCAGAACAGCCGGTTCCCTCTCCCTCCATGTTTGCCTTCAGGAGTAGCCCATGTGTTCCTTATTCAGCTCTAGTTATAGACCAGATAGGTTCGAAATTTCCGGGTTCTGAGAACGATGTCTGGAGACGCTTTCTGATGCCTGGTGACTGTCTTCTCTCAAAGCTGGTCCCAGGCTTTGTGCTCAGGACAGAGATCAAGAGCTCACCCTCTGCTAAGGGTGAATGTGGTTTCTCTCTCTGGACTTTAGAAGAAAGTCCTGCAGGGAAGAGAAAACAGACCAGGTAGGTGCGGACTTTGTGGGTGATGTTTACCCTAGGGTGAGGTCCCACTGATGGGACTCCCACCCTGGCAGCCCAAAGCCCTGCCAACCTCCAGAGTCCCCTCATTGTGTGGCCCTGAGAGGCTCCACACCAGCCACAGCCACAGCACACAAGAGGCCAGGGAGACAGCAGAAGGGACACCTTCTGGTGGATGGAGATGCAGAGGACCAGGGAAAAGAGTGATAGGGAAGAGGGTCCCTTGCCAAGAACAAGTAACAAAATCATAGGGCCACTTAGGTGACCCCAGAAGCCACGACATAACAGGTTCACTATCTTGGGGATATGAGGCCCTAATGTTTTGGGAAACTCACAACAGAGAAGCCTACAAGTCCAAGATGGGGTGGGGGGGTCTGTCACAGAGGCTGCCACATCCAATCCCAGTTTCACAATCATGGGGCACAAAGGTGGGCAACACACCAAAGCTGGCCTCCACAGTGAGTCCCAAGATAGAGCATGGGTCCAGGGAAGGAGAAGGCAGAAGATAGTGTGGGCTGAGCAAGTATCAGGTCAGGACAGGGCACAACAGGACAGGAGCCAATGGAATCCACCAACCCTGGTTCTTTGGACTAGCCTTCAGGACCTGTGCATGGCCCTGGCTATGCCCAAGCATGGGCAACACTTATGGGCAGGGTAGCACCTCTGGAGGAGAATCAGGCTGGATTTCCTGTGGCTTTCCCAGACCAGCATGCCCAGCTCCTGGTACTGTCAGTGTCCACAGAGAACTATGCTCAGAGTCCTGCCGTTCATTTGGGTGCTGTGTGTGACCCAAGGTGGATCCCAAGGGCTATCATCTGTCAGAACCCCTGGGACCCAAGCCAGAGGTTCTAACTTGGGCTGTTCACATTCCCTTGAGTCCCACAGCATTCCAGAGGGGCTGGCAGGACATCTCAGGAGGCGCTTCAGGGTGCCTTGTGTCCTCCTCCAAATACCAGTCCAAAGAACCTGCAACAGCACTGGCAGCTCATGGCCACTGCATGCAGCACTGGCAGACAGGGCCCTTCGGCCACCTGCCTATTCACCGTGGGCTCCAGCTGCAGGAGGAACCCTTGTCTGTACACGAGAGCACGGTCTTCAAGGAGCTTTCGGACCGGCTGGGGACTTTCGGCTGCAGAAGAGGGAAGAGAAGAGCTCCATACGCAGAGCAGAGCAGGAAACAAAAGGTTTTGGTTACTCCTGGGCAGAGCTCTGTCGGACCGCTCCCTGCTTGGCTCCTGCCTTGGCTCCTGACTAGACCCTGGGTTTCAGACCTTGGCTTCTCTAAGACATGCAAGAATTCAGACTCTTTTGGGTAGGGAGAGCTGGTCAGCATGGCCATGACCTCTTCCATGGGGAAGAGGTAGAGAGGTGTTGTGTTAAGCATAGAGATGAGGTAGAGAGGTGTTGTGTTAAGCATAGAGATGAGATGCCAAGAGACAGAACAACAGACAGAAGTAAGAATGCATGTGAAATGACAAGAAGAAGCAGGGACCTGGAGCCAGGGATAGAGAGAAACAGAACATAAGCAAAGGAGAGGGAATGTAGGAGGACAGAGGAAGGGGAAAAGGGAAGAAAGGGAGGAAGGAAGGGAAGGGGGACTTCTGAGGAAGAGACTGATAGGAAGGATAGGGGAAAGAGAAAAAGAGAAGGACAGAGAAAGACTCTTCCAGACACAGGTAGACACAAGGACTCACAGAGCATGACAGGCCAAGTGGGGCTTCCTGGAGAGCCCACAGGTTTGAGATAAGAGGCTGAGATCTTAGTGGCCTAGTGATGCAGTACTAGTGAATGCCACTAGACATCAGGGAGACCTTCTATAGGGTGACAGATGGATATAGAAATCATTATCTGCTAATAGTATAGGAGATAAACATATGAGTGGGGAATCAAAAGTCTTGAATCTTTGTCCCAATTTTATATTGCATACTTGATCTGAGACCTTGAACCTTGGGTTCACATATGTAAAGAATTTGACCAAGACAGCCTTAGACCTGATACTACTTGAGCACTAGCTTAGTTGGAGAATTTGTCTAGTCTAGATGGTCTAGGGCCCATGACTACAGCCAGTCATGTGTCTGCAGGAGGCTATTCCTTTACAACTGGCTGAGGTTGGAGGAAGTTGGAAGGCAGAAGCAGGGTGCTTGAGCACACTTACAGCTCATCGTCGTACTCCTTGGGGGGGCAGACTGCAACCACAAGGTCGATCCAGTCCTGTGGGAAGAAGCCATGTGACTGAGGAGAGTAACAGATGGTACATGTGCCCCGGGGCTCCATTCCCCTATCTGGCCTCCATGGCCTGGAGTCAGCCAGCAGGACCTTCTTCCCATGGGGAAGCTGGGCACTCCAGTTGGGCTGGAGTCCTCCTGCTTGGGATGGGCGCCCAGATAGAACCCCATACTATTTTTTGCAGGAGGTGGGAGGGGGAAGTTTCCAGTCTCTGAGGTTTGAGTCAGGCAGCAACCTCCAAATCACTTGGGAGAATTCCTTTAGAGCATAGATTCCTGAACTTGACCCCTGGAAGTCTGGAGTGGGTCCTGGGAAAGAGTTCTTCTAGTAAGATCTCCAGATCAACTGCTGGACTTCTGTCTCACTAACACTGATCCCTTTCATGGCATCACTGCCTTGGTTGGCTTGCCCATGACTGTCATCTTGGGCTTGACCGTATCATTGAAAAAGTAGCAAAAATAGCATTGGGCCCTCTACCAGGCCATAGTTCCTAAGACTGAGTTGGAATCTCTCTCCCCAGGACCAACTTCCAGCCCATCCAGCTCTGCCTTCAAGAATCATAGATCACTTCTGTTCCCTTCAGACAATCACAGACAGCCATCATGTTACCCGTTCGTCTTCTCTTCTCCACATCCTGTCATGTGGGTCCCAGGCCCATCTGGTCAGCTTCCTCGGCACTGAACTTAATACCTCAGGCTCAGCTGCCTGCATACAGTTGTACATGTGCATTGCACAACACGAGTGGGCACCATTCATATTGTATTCTGTAGGAGGGCACCCTCTCAGATTGTGCAGTGCACGGCCTTTGGGAAAACCATGCACAGTGGCCCTGATGCAGGAAGGAGTCTAGTACATACAAAGCAGAGGACCACCAGCCCCTCCTTCCTCTTGGGCCTTCTATGTCTGTTAATATAGTAACTTCCAGTACTCTCTTGATTCTTATTCAGTAAATACTTAGAGAAAGCTTTCGTTTTGTTCTCAGGTCAGAAGACTTGTCATGCCCAGTCTTCTGGAGTGGGTTTGTGCCAATGTTTTGTGGGTTTTTGTTTGTTGTTGTTGTTGTTCAAGGTCAAGAAATGACCATTTCTCAGAATTCTATCCTGTCAGATTTAGTCCATTGACTAAACAGGAATTTGTGGGTATCGTCCAAGAGTTGTTTGTACCTTGGATATCTGCCCTGAGCTGGGGCACCCCAACAGTAAGGTCTGGCTGCAGAGGCCAGGATCTGAGACAGGCAGGTGAGGAGGGAGGAGGAGAGGGGCTTCTTCTTACCCCACCCTTATTCCAGGCCTTCTGTAGGGCAGCCTCGGCTTCTGCCAAGGTGTAATCTGTCACAATCTTGCCATTGATGGCCATGATCTCATCTCCTTTCACAATGCCACCTGTATGAAGACAAAGCCAACTGGGTTATATGTGACATGTGTCCCAAACCCAGCGATTGGCAGAATGACTCATTGTGGGATGGCTCAGGAGGCCCAATCCTGGACTCTGAGACTCACATGAGCTGAGCAAACAGAAAGGGAGACCACACTGCCCCAGCACTCAAGGGCATGGAAGAGCCTCCCTGATGTGACCGAGGTCCTCACCAATGTTCTGGAAAGTTTTAGATTCTGGCTAACTGCAAAAGAAGAGGCTGAGCCTGGGTCCAAAAAGGCTTTGCTTGTCAACAATGAGGATTTTGTTGAAAAGGGGACATTGGTAAAGCAAGAAGATCACGTGTAGGGAGAGGCAAAGAGTATGGCAAGCCTCTGGCCCTCTAGGATAGGGCAAGGCTGCCAAGGATTTTAGGCAGTGGTAGCACTTGGGCAAAGAAGTAAACCAAATGGTCACACTGCCTGGATTTAAGTCCTGCTTCCTTCTTTTACCAGCTGTGGATCCTTAAGGAGTACTTTGATCTGTCTGTGCCTCAGTTTGCCTAAGCTGCAAAATGAGAATAATTACAGCACCTACTTTGGGAGCTATCAGATTAATACACATGAAGCACCAATACCAGGCTGCATGTCAGGCACTTAAGACTAGTATGTGGCACGAACTATTATCACTGAGAGGACAGGTCAGGATTGGATGGGTTTATTCATGCTTTCCATGTGCAGGTCCTTCTCCCAGAAAGCCTTTCTTCCCTCCTCCACAAGGGTGACATCCACTCATCTATTAAGGCTCAGCTTGTTGTTTCCCTTCCCAGCATCCCCTTCCCCCATGGATTAGGCTCCATCTCTCTTCAGCCTCTTGGAAGATGGTACTGTTACTGTCAAGGATCTGGTGATCTTATGAATGTTTCTTCCATTAATCTGTCAAGGCAAGTTGGCATCTACTTTGTTGGTGTTGGCCAGGTCCTGGCATCATGATACACCTTCAGGTAATGTCTGAAACTGGGTAGATGGCTTGCAAGATGGACCTTAAGCTCTTGAGAAACTGTCAGCCTGCTCCACACAAGCATCTGTCTGCTTTCCTGAGAGGAGCCACCACACAATCCCCAAACCAGGCATGGCTCTACCCACTCACCATGCCGCTCAGCAGCACCTCCTTCGTAAACAGCAGAGACGACCACCTTCCCAATTGGGGAGTCCACACCACCTTCCAGGGCCAGGTCTAAAGATCCCTCCTGGTTACAGGAAAACAGGTCTTATGATCCATACAGATGCCTGTGGGTATCTGGGCACAAGCAAGCAAAAAAGGAAGAAAGGAAAGGAGAGAGAGAGGGCAGGGAGAGGGAGAGAGAGAGGGAGAGAGGAAGGATGGAAGGAAGGAAGAAAGGAAGAAAGGAAGGGAGGAAGGAAGGAAGGAAGGAAGGAAGGAAGGAAGGAAGGAAGGAAGGAAAAGGCATAGGCCAGGGCAGTGCTATGGAAAGAAAACAGGCCAGATGCCCATTGGGGCTCAGTGGCCCAGCATTGGAGGGCATCCCTGAGACAGGAGGGGTCACCTAGGAATCACCTTGGAGTAAGTGAAACAGAGAAAGTAGGAGTCAGGGGAAGAGAAGGATGGTGGCCTGACCTCTGGCACTTGCCCAGGTACCTTCTTGATGCGTAGAAGCCGGACGTCCTTCCCTATGATCTGCTCTGGGGAGAACTAGAGGGAAACAAAACCAATAGGGCAACCTTGACAGGTGGAAGTGGCTCTGGGCCCTATGAGGGACAATGGACATGTATGTACACATGATGTCATGAAACTTGCAGGTACATTCTTCTGGGGTTAATGTGAGGATGGAGCAACAGCAGGCCTTATGAATGCACAATACAGTGACTGTGGTTAGCACGCAGTGAGCATAATCCTTGTTCTAACCCCTTACACACACACACACACACACACCATGCAGTTCTGACTGAAAGGAGCCTTCACAGGAAGGAACAACTCAGGGCATCCTTAGGGCTTTCAAGTGTCCCATATCATTCTACCATCAAACCCTTCTGAACTTTCTCCCCATTTTTGGGGACTACTTGCCTGGGACAGGAGTGTTCTTACCATGGAGTAGGGGTCAAAGCCTTCCTCATATTTCCGGAAATCCTGGAAGCAAAAGGAGGGTTTTAGGCTGTCATAGCTGTGGTCCTGTGGTCACTGCAAACCCAAGCTCAGGAAAGGAAGGAAAATGAGTTCAAACCCAAGGATGAGAGATGGGGAAGGGATAGCAGCAGGTGTAGCCTGGGTGGGGATGCAGAAAGGAGACTGGCAGCCCCAACAGCCACAGTGCCCTGTTCAGGGTGGAGCAGGAAGCTGCAGGAAGCATTCAGAGGCATGTGGTCCTACCCCCTATACTGTCCAGCAGGCTCTTGGGGGGGAGGGGGGAATCTGCAGTTGCTGTCTGGGAACCTGGGTGGATGGCTCCTATCCTACAGAAAGTCTCATCCCTCTGACTTTTGAGACACTACCTCATCTCTTCTAAATCCCCACTCAGGACATGCCAGGCCCTGGCAGATTGAAGGCAGGCTTCTCAGTTCAGTGCTCTGACCCAGCAGAATGGGCCAGGCCTGCTCAAGAGGATGCTCTGCCTGGGAAAAATAGTTACAAGGTGACCAAGGGAGGTTAAAAAGAGTACCACCAAAAGGCTAGACATGGCAGTGGTGAGACTCTGCTGACCCAGTGCTTGGCACTGTTGTTAGCTGATCTAGAAGGTAAGATGCCTCCCCGGATTGGTCTTTTAGTTGGAGAGAAGGAGGGAGCATGCACAGAACTGAGGCCTTGGATGGATGGGGTTGCTGTAGGGACAATGCCCCAAAGATTTAGAAAGAGGGTAGTGAGGAGAAGAAAGCAGAGCCAGATCACATGGCCTTAGCCAGGAGCTACGTAGTAAACAGAGCCAGGCCCAAGACCCAGGATGCTAAGCCTAAATGAGGACCACAAAGCCACAGCAAGTCCCCATAGGAAGGTGAGAGCTTCATGACAGGTTCCCACAAACTCCTCACTGGACTGATCAGAGCTGTCCTGAGCACACAGTTCCCTAGACCACACTAAAATGTCCCCGGGTCTGTAGCATTGTGGTCAGGCTAGAGACCTTGCTCCGGGGGTAGCAGCCAAACTCTGAACACCAGACAAGCAGACAGGTCCCTGGACATCTGTCTCCTCCCCCTCTCACTGGATAGTATCTCCCAGGCTCAACCCCAAAGAGTTTAGACTGGTCCAAGTTGGGGATTCCATGAAGCATGGTTTGCCTGAAGGGGAGAGACAAGGGAAAGCATAGGAGGGTCATTTCAGTCTATGATTGTTGGGGCAGCACACAGAGAAGGGATGCAGCTGATCATGCGTAAGAGGGCTCAGGAGGTAGGGTTGGAGCCCAGACCCTTTTATGAGCTGGGCCTGATTATCCTGGCTATTCCTTCTGGAAAACTGGGCACATCCCTGGCTGTCATCTTCTTTTTCAGTGACCCTGAAAATCTCTCATAGATAAGCCAGCCGGATGGCAGGTCTTGTGTGAATTCAGAGACTTATAAGCCATTTCAGCTGGTTGGCCCTTAAAGAAGAAGCCTCACTTCTCATTCAATGGATGGAGAAACAGAAACCCAGAAAGATAGCGTTGATGCCTAAAGTCACTCGGTCAGTGGGAAGACAAGCAAAGAGTTGGACTCCAAATCTGGAGCCTTGGAATCTTCCATGTCTTTCTCCTAAGGGTTGTTTGCTTCATAAACAACAACAGGCCTTTCAATGCCTATTTTCAACAACAGTGCTTTGAGAAGCAGGTGATAGCTGCTTCTAAGAACATATTAGATCCAAATCTAGGGTCTGACATGAGCTATGTAATTGCAGATGCATTTCCAGGTCTCTCTGCTGTTTCTTGCCTATAAAATGAAAGTGATAATAGCTTCTGTCTCCCAGAGTTGTTGAAAGATTAAATGAGTTCATATACGTAATGTATTTTGGAACAAGGCTTGGTACTGCACTGTTCTAAGGATTAGCTGTCTCCTGTCACTCTGCAGTCTTGGTCTGGGAACAGCCACTTTTTATATGTATCTCCCCCCCTCAGCCCCCACCCAGCCACTTTAATTGCCTGTCAGTGTTAAATCAGCCTGGGAATGGGAAGGCTGGAGAAGCAAGGGCTGCCTGTGAGGTTTGCTGTTTCAGGTTTCTTTCACTGGTACTCAGACCACCAATCCAATGGCTGGCTCTGGGCATAAGCTCCAGAAGGTAGGGAAACTAGGTGCCCATCAGCCTGACGCTATTCAGAGACCAGCAGGGACCCTGGGCAGATGGCTGAACGGAGCCACCATTTCCTGCTGAGGGAGATTCAGCATTAGGGCTCAGTTTGAAGCTGTGGTCTGCCTGGAAGGGAGAGACAAAGGAAGGCAAGGAGTGGGGCAAGGAGCGGGGGCATTTCCAGCAGCCCCTTTCCTTTTTCCTAAAGCTAGAGCCAGAGCCCATCTTGGCCTCTGTGGCTCTCCAAGGGCTCCCTCTGGCCTGCAGCAGCAGGGACCCCAGAGCGCTCTTAACCCAAACACAGGCATAAGAAATACAAAATCCTCAGTACTGGTCTGAGATTGCCAGGCAGATGGCACTTGGAGCCACCTTGAAACTGCCAAGAACTCCCAGGGAGAAAGAAGTCAGGCACAGACAGACAGGAGGGACAGGTGGTGAAAAAGACCATACACACAACAGATATCATAGTACTTGACGGAATGTCGTCTGATAAACCACCATCCTCTTCAACATTTCCTGAGGCTGGTGGGAAGAAAAAAAAAAAAAAAGCCCCACCAGATGTTAAAAGCGGGTCTTTTCTGCCCCCTGGTGTCAGATCCTGGGCCTGCATCCCTGAAGCTGTAGTCCCTTCCTAAACAGACATGGTCTGACTTAAGATCCAGGCTTGCTCAATGGTCCCAGTTACGGAGTCCCAGTTAAGGAGACACACCCTATCGTGAAGCAGAGAATGAGGTGAATGTTTCAGGCTATCTCAGAAGCATGGCCCCTGCCTTTTTGGGAGCTAACAGGACAGCTAAAGCTCAAAATAAGTATCTGAGTGGCCTACCCTGACATTTGGATAGAGTTTCCTTGAAACTCTTCTGGCCTGGCTCTGTTTCCACCTTGAGTGGGAAGCTAGTCAGAGGCTGGCACTGTAAGGGATGCCCATGAAGTCCACTGGAGCCCAGGGTGGACAGGTCTCCCTATTCCCCAGGACCACTCCCAGGACTCAGCCCTACTGAGCAGTGAGAAGTAAAATGGAGACAAAGAGTGGACCTGTTTTGGCTTCTTCCCCAGACAAGGGTAGCCCACATGAATGCCACTCAGACCTTGTGGCACAGGCATCAGGAATCTCTGTAGGTAAGACTGGCTTTAAAGTCTGAAAGACTAGTATGTTTGTGCTCTGCCTTGGGAAAACTACTTTTTACTTCTGTATGTTTCAGCTTCTGCAATTTTTAAACATAGACAACACTAAGAATAATCATAATGAGGATCTGATGAGACCATAACAGCCCAGAACATGGCTGGAGCTCTTACTAAATCTTAGCTATGAACACTATCATTTTCACTGAACTGTTTGCTGTTGTTGTTGTTGTTATTGTTGTTGTTTATTCCCGAGAACTCATCATGTAGGCCCAGGCTGACTAGAACTTCAAAATTCTCCTCCTTCAGCCTCTTGAGTACTGGGATTAGAGACATGAACCACCACACTCTGCTTAGCATTGTCACTTTTAGGTGATACCCCAGTAGTGTGGTCAAGCAGGGGACAAGAATGCCACGGGGAGGTCACCACCCAGTGCACCCATGCAGACTCATTTCTTGGCAATAAGACAGTTGCAAGATGATACCCAATCTCACTTTGCATGCATTTCACACTCCTCAGGGATGGCAGAGCCCAGGAGACATGGTTTGCCTTGCTCCTCTAGAAATACACTGGAGGAGACCCAAGGATCTTACCAGGACCTCAGATTTCACAGCTGGCCTGTAGATAAAGTTGGACTCCTGGTGGACCATGACAGGCTTGGAGATGGTTGACACACCAGGGCCTCTTGGAGGCTGTGGGCTTGGGCAAAATGTCTACAGAGTTAGTTTAAGAGAGACCCATGTGAGGTTGTGAATGGGGCGGGGGGCGGGGGGTAACCAAGATCAGCCATGGCACTTCTACGCACATGCAAATCTACCCCCCATGCACAGGAGCCTGTCTGGCTATTCACTCTTCTGGAGGCCTTGGTATGACTTTCAGGGAAGAGATGAGAGCTCCACTGTTGAAAGTGTGGTCCAAGTGGCTGTAAGCAATCTGGTATTTGAACCAACAGCCAGCACCAGCAGCCACTGGCACTCAGACACATTGTCAAGGCTTTCCCTTGGTAAACACAGGGCACACCAGTTTCCTCTCCTTTTAAGGGCTGGCTCTTTTGGATACAGTCTATCCCCTGTATAGTGGTACAAGCTATCTTCTATTCTCAATGACTGGACATTGAGTGTCCAGAGACCTTAGGAAGAGGATCAGTAAGAGGGGCATCCAGGGGAGTTGATGTGACTTGTCTGCTTTGCTCTAATGCACTTGCTCATCTTTGGCAAGGTGTATCTGATCAAATCACAACTCTGCCCAAACCTTTCAAGTCCCTGCTGACTTCTGAGCCCCTGAAGAACTCCTGAGATCATTCACGAGCTTCTCTACTTTCCTTGACAGCTTCCCCTCACTGTCAGACAACCTGTGAAATGCCAGACTCTCCTGCTATGGCTTTGTGTCTACACTTTCTATTCTGCCTGTCCAAGTCTCAATCTGGAATATCACTGCCTTCCAGAGATCTTCCTTAAGCATTTCCTTCCCATCCTCACACCTTGTCACAGCACCTGTGTGTCTCTTAGTCTCACTCCTTCAATCGTGTGATAGTTGTCAGCCTATTTGTTTCTTTCCCACTAGACTGTCTTGGGCAGAGACTGGGGCTGCCTGCCCAGTAGTGTTTCCTAGTACCCAATGCTGTGTCTGGCAGACAGTAGTCATGAGTAAATATTGTGATGAATGAATATATAAAGACCTCATGATACCTGGAGTAGATCTGGCCCTGAATCTTACCTCTAACTAGTGTCAGTATGTCAGATGTACATGTCAAGCTAGCACAGTTGACCATTTCCACTGTGGCCTGCTGGTGGCTGGGCTGACTATAGACACCTCATGATAACAACGGGGCTGGAGAGCCAACCCAGAGGCAAGGGCCTCATCTTTGAGTCAGGGATAGCCTGGGTTGTGAAGTCACTTCAAATGTCTGTGGTCCAGCTCTCTAGAGATGCCTTGCCTTTGGGATTTTTTAATCTTCCCTGCCCTCTGCTTAAGAACAAACAGTGGGAACACTGTGATTTCCAAGAGGACCCTGTCTTTAACACCAACTGCCTCAAAGTTTGCTGAGATGACCTTCAATTCCTTGTTTTTGGTTTTACCCCAACTGACTTGCACTTTGTATGGTTAATAACCATAGTTAATGCCTAGTGAACAACTACTATGGGCCTGCTACTCTTATTTTATAAGCATCAATTTAGAATGTGTTACTATTTCATTTTTTTTGCATGTTCATATCTAATTCATGTGATTCTCATGGGAGGAAGGTGCTAATATGATTCCTATCTTATAGATGAGGATATTCAGGCTCAGACACATGGAATAACACATGTCCCCAATCATCTAGCCAGTGAGTGCAAGAGCCAGGATTCAGGCTTGGTCAGTCTTAACTCTCTACTATTCTGCCGCCATTTTTGTGTTCCCTCCACTGAGGTGCTCTCCCACCTATCCTCTGTGGATCCCATCTCTCATGACTCAACACCACAAAGAGGTGTCTTCAACTTCCCATTAGACGAGCCCTTGCCACAGCCCATGGTCTGTATCAGGTTTACCGCCGAGCCCTGCTCAGAGCAGCTGTTCTCCTTTCAGGTAGAGCTCAGTCAATGGAATGCAGAATTAACTTTGGAGGAGGCATCATGGTGCACAGATTTCTCCCTGCAGGACTCAAACTCCAACCAGAGGTCCAGAGAAATTTCTGAGACCTGTTTAGAGCCTTAGCCTTATCAGCCTGCCAGGGCCTTCATATCCACCTGCCTCCCCACCAAGCTCTCCTGAATGCTCTGAGAATCTTATTCTGCCCTTCAAGCAGTAACTGAAATGGAAGAGTTAATGGGAAGGCTGATATCAACCACTGCTGCTGAGCCACTATCATGACCAGACCCCCAAATATTCAATATTCCCATTCTTAGCCAGTGTCCCAGCTCTGACTCAAGCCGGCTCTATGGCTATGGAAGCAAAGGAACACTTTGTATTTCCTAGAGCCAAAGCTCCACACATCTTCCATAGTGATCACCTCTTCCAAAAATCTTTGGATAAAAAGCAATTAATGAGCACAATGTCTTTTTGAGGGGAAAAAAATCACTATTCAATCTCTCAGCGTCCAAGAAAAGCATCTCAAGTCTCTTAATAGCAAATTTGGAGATTTCTAGGCACTCTCTCTCCATTTTTCCTTTAGGTAGATGTTAGCCAAAAATGCTACACTTTAAGCGCGTGCAGTGGCAAATGCCAGGGAAAAGGGCACTGTACTAAGGCATTCTGCGTTTGCAGAACTCAGCACCTCTCTTCCTGGCTTCCCCATCCCTACTTTATTCCTGTTGTTACTTTACATATTCAAGGCTTTCTGGGATAATATCATGAACTGATTGCCTGTGACACAGAGCTGGCTAGTCATGAACGGAATCAATATTGCAAGGCCCTCCCCCGCCCCCCAAGCCCTCACTAGCCAAGAGGAGCTAACGGCAGGGCAGGGAATTGGATGGAAATACTGCTGGTCATCCCAAGGCCTGCAGCAACCGTCCATACAACACAGACCTCCAAACCAGCAGAAACCATGCACATGCAGGACACCTCCACACATGCAGCCTGGGGGAAGGAGGGGTGTCCATACTAGAAAAGGGAATGAGATGGTGTTTCCTCCTGTCTTCACAGTGGGGAAACAGCCCCTCCTCCTGCCTGCAAACACAGCATGCAGAACAAAGGGAGTACCTTTGGGGTAGGCGGGAAGCTCCTTTCAGGGGCAGGAGAGCTGGAGGGCTTCCCACTTTGGGTCTTTGCCTCCCACTCCTCCACCGCATTGCCTGGGTCACCAATGCGGAAGGAGAGGCTGCCCAGTGCCTCTTCTAGAGCCGAGGGCAGTGGGCGGGTAGGAGTGAGGTCTTGGGTGGGAATGGAAGGAGGGGGAGGGATGGGGATGGGGGGTGGGGTGCGCTGCACCCAGGGTGAAGATGAGGTGCTTGTGTGGCCTGATGGAAGCACCGGGGGCGCGGGGACCTTGGAAGGTGGGTTGGAGGGTGGGGGGTGGGGCATCACAGGCAAAGCAGAGGGGGTCTTTGGGGGGTAGTAGAACATATCCAAAGGGATGTCATCCAGGTCCGTGGTATGGAGGTGTAGTCCGCCTGCAAAGCGTCTCAAGGGCGGGGCCAGAGGAGACACAGAAGGTGGGGGAGGCGGGGGCCCTGTGGTCATCTGGGGGTGGTAAAGAAGTTCTGTTATTGTCCACACTGACTAGTGCTCCACACGGTAATGCATGGAATGCAATGCTTTTCTAATCTGGTTCTGTTGGAGATCCATTCCCTCAAAGAAGAACTATGGGGGCACCACTCTTTGCCAGTTGGTTGCCCAAATGAACCCACAAGGCTAGTAGAGAGTACCCAAGTACAGGAGAGACCCAAATGATACCAACTGGGAATGGTAAGTCAGGCGGTCAATCAGCTTCACCTCTAAACAGGAACACAATTTGAGTGTGTAAAGGGCATGCTTAGTAATTACAGTAAGACAACAACTCTGAAGATAAGCCCAGAAGTACAAGACATATGCCCCTCTGCAACAGGGGATGGAGCTGGTAGGCGGCATGGGTCCTGGGCAGTGGGAATGGGTGCCAGTGTGGCTGGTGATGTTTGTTACCATGCCTCCTGTTATCCTCAAGGAGGATCATGCTGAAGGTAGCTGGAGGTTCTGTGCAGAAAGAAGGGCCCTGTTACCTCTGAAATCTCATTATCAGCAGAGGAAATCTGCTCCAGGCGAGTCTGACAGAGCCTTTCCACCCAGTACTGAATCTTTTCCGATTCCTCAAGGTCTTCTCGCTCAGTCTCAGACACCTGGGACCCAAGACACGTGCCAAAAGGAAAGGACAAAAGGCACACTTTGAATCCCATGGCAGCACTGCTCCAAAACCAGGAGAGCACTGGAAAGTACCAGAAATCACCTGTCTAGAGCAAGACTCAAGCTGGTTCCACCTGACCTGCAGGAGGTGGAAATGAGGGTGAGGGCCAATGTGACTGAACAGCACTTGCAAGGAAAACCAGAGAAGGGGCTTATGCATTGCCAGGTGTCAGTCCAACCCCAGGGTATTCACAGAGCTCTCCAAGAAGTTTTTTTTTGGTTGCCTCCTTGTGCATTCCAAGTTTAACTTATCCTTGATCTTAGTTTAACTTCCCCTTCCCTCCTCCAGGGTGCCTTGTCTTTCAGAAGCACAAATTGAATCTTATTGTTAATTTTGTAGCTAATTCCTTCCTAACGTCAGACCTAATACACTTCACATTTTCCAGGACTTCTCTGTGCTTATAATCTAATCAGCTTGGCATTCTGATTCATGGAAGCATTAAAGAGAAGCTGAAAGAATAATACCTGTGGATAGGGAGTTAAGGGTTGGAACTAGTAATTGCTTATGCTGTGATTGCTTTGGACATGTCTGGCAGGAGACAGTCTTAGATAAATTCCTAAGTTAATGAGATCCAGCTGCAGACACATCCACCTTCTGTTGAAGGGAGCAGCCTTAGACACATAACCTAATTGGGGATATCCTCAGCCTTACCATCTGTGCAAGGGGTTAGCCTTAGCTAAACCCATATATTCAGAACCAAGTCAGCTTAGGAAAACCTGGTTTTGCACTCCAAATTTGGGTAGAGACCCGAGATTAATAAAAGCCTATAGACAAAAGGAGTGGAGGGCTAACTGAAGATCTATAGAAGGGTTAACCTCGGACTCGGCTTTGAGCAGAGAGACCAGCTTCATCACCACATTGTAGATAGAGAATCTAGACAAATTCATTTTGTTGGGGCAGAATAAAAGGAACAAACTCAAACCTCCAGCCAAGTGTATTAATGCCTAGACTGAGACCATCTGGGCAAAAACGCTAGCCTCAGCCTAGAGTCAGTAGGAGGCAGTAGGCTAGCTTCATTCTCAAGCATGGGCTTAACCTTGCAGCTGATCTTAGACAGCCCTGGCAGGAAGGAGGGCCTCACTCTCCAGACTGGAAGGGGGGCACTGCCCATCCTTGAACTATCTGCAGGAAACAACTTGAGCTGTCCCCCTGGCACTATGGTCCCAGGGATGCTCACCTGATCTGTGAGCAGGACACATACCTCCTGAGCCAGCCGGTTGATCTTTAGTTGCTTTTCCTTCTCCAGCATTTCCTCTTTCTCTTTGTAAAGCTTTTGTTCAAACTCCAATTCCTTTTTATTCTTTCTCAACTCCTGTAGGCTGTCATACTTGGCTTTCTTCTTATCTTTTCCTTTCTGAGCAGATGTAGCATTGTTTATATGACAAAAGTTACAAGATAGGGTTGGCACTAGCATAGGACAGCAAACAGGGCATTTGATCCTCAGACAATAGCCAGTAACCACCCCATAGTGAGCCCTAGCCCCAGCTCTGCTGTACCAAACTGAGCATCAGATCTCAGGCTAAAGGCAATCAAGACATATTCCTTTGCTAGCCAGAAAAACTGGTTTACTAGTTCACTAACTAGCCGTGTGACACTGGCTAGATTCCTCAACCTCTCTGGACCTGATTCACCTCATCTCTAAACTAGGAAAAAATAGCTGCTGCCCGAGTTTTCATTCAGTGCCCATGAAATACTATCTATGAAAAGGCATTGTGAACTTCAAAGTGTAATCTGAATAAAAGACCCTGTACTGATTCCCTAGTATCTGGACACATGCCGTCTCCATCATCTGAAGAGAAAAGTAAACATGTTCAGATACCAGAGAGGTGTTTTAGGAGATTTTAGAAAGTCTTGGAGAGCTGGTAAATCTCTTCTGCAAAGAATTGCTCTCCTGGGGTAGAGGAAGCAAAAGATCCAGACCTGGGGTCTGTCAGGGACATCAGATCTAGAGAGTCCAAACTCAGGGCTCCCTCAACTGAGGACTAGCTGGAAACTACAGCACAGGGTGACGTGGTCTGAGGTGACAGGACTAATTTCTTTACACTGGTTACAGGGTTCCAATGGATATTGGGAGTCAGATGAATGGCAAATCATACCTTGCTGGAACTGGACCCACAAAAGCGAGCCCTCTTTCCTGGCTACTTCTCTCATGGAGTAGGTAATGGGGAGGCTGTATGGATTATTTCCTTTGTAGGTACTGTGCATTCTCCTCACGTAGGAGTTAAGGCTCAAGGTGAAATCCCTTTCCCAATGTCAGATAGCTAGTAAGTGATTGCACCAGGATTCAAACCTGAGAATTCCAGATCGCAGTGCTGATGAGCTAGGGGCTAGGGGAACATGGTAGAAAGGAAGTCAGCCCCCTTCCCACACAGCACAAAGTACAGAGCTGGCATGCAGGAGAGAGGATGCAGAGTCCACACTCAGGGCAAGTCCACACTCAAGAGGAAGCACCCCATTCACTGAGCTCACCTCCACCTCTAAGAAGTCTTCCTGGTCCTGCTCTGGGATTTCCTGAATCAACTCAGCTTCCAAGGTTAGGAATGAGGAATGTGGGTTGCCCAGCCATGGACACACAACATTCAACTAAGCTGGGGGGATGATGGGTCATTATAGACCTCTATAGACTCATCCTATCCCATCACTCCACTTCTATACACATCTGAAATGCTTTGGAAATGGGACCTACCTCTAGAGAAGTCTATGGGCCTCTTGAGAGAATGGTTTTCTTTGCTTCTGAGTCCCTGCTTCTTTGCCTAGACTGTTCACTAGGTTCTTAGCTTATTTCAGAAATGAATCACTGACAACACGTTTTAGGTTCAGACAGCAATTCTCCAAAAGGAGCAACAAATCTAGCAGCTTGCTAGATTAAGGGCATGACCTCCCACAGGGACCAGCATGATATTGATGGCCACTCTGTGGGTTTAGAAACAAACCAGCAATGCTGAGGTATTAGAGCAAGGCTCCTTGGTAGAGTGCGCTGACAGCAGACAGTTTCTGCCTCATCCCTAGTCAAGTAAAATTTGCCTACAAATGCAAAGGGGCAAGTGGCCCACAATATTGCCTTGTAGGTACAGGACACGTGTCCAGGTAACTGCTCCAGGCAAGTGTGTGGATCTGCCTTCCCTGCAGGACTGTGGGCTATTGGTGGGGTTGCTCTCAATGATATATTCAAGGAATTCTGCTGAGAGATCTTAAACAGAACTATGAATTTTCCAAGGCTTGGTGTAGACCGTAGGACCACAGGCTGGAGTTCTTAAATCCCTGAGGGATTTACTGCCAGGATGGGAACACTGAGATTTTAGGCACTGAAGATGGCTGTGGATAGCCACCTTTGATTTACCAGGGACTCAGTGGTTCAGTTGCTGACAAACAAAGCATCTCCCGTGCCTCAAGGCAAAATAATGATAGTTTTCGAGAGATGGTATGAGAGACATCATTGTATTGTCCTTTCCGCTGCCAGTTAATTCATGGCAGATGTTTCATTTTGATCTAGACTGAGAGGAGAGAGAGACGGCACAATGTGCTACCTACAAACAACCATTCTCTTTAGGAAATAAAAATGAAAAAAACAAAATATCAGCTGTTTCTGGAATTATAATGGAACTGATGAAAAGGAGGCCCTGCCTCTTCACCAGTGGCAAGAAGTTTCAAGTGAGATGATTTGTGTGCAGGAGATTCTAGCTCTTTCACATTTGCAGGAAAACAAAAAGCTTATTTGTCTCCTTTTATTATTTTTGCAGTAAAATCCGGTGCGTGCGTGCATGCGTGTGTGTGTGTGTGTGTGTGTGCGCGCATGTGTGTTTGTGTGTGTGGTGCTCTGGAGCTGAGTTCTAACAGATAGTGGTGGAAAAGAATTTGCAGTCTAAGACAATGAAAGAACCTGAATCATAGATTTGGCCTGTAAGACAAAGAACCCAGAGACCTACGAGACTGAGGGTTTTCTGACACTATGCTAATGTGGGAAGGAATCCTGGGGGAGCTGTGTTCTAAGTTTATGTAGTTTTTATGAACCCTGATCTAGGCTCCTAGGTAAGGAAAATATTGTTGTCTGATAGACTCATAGGAATGTTCTGGAAAAATGGGTAGATTTTCTTGGCACATCTGAGACGCCCATTTTTCAAGCAGGAAGAAGTTATGTATCAAGGTCACCTGGCTGTTAGTGCATTGGTTTCTGGGGGACAAACTTATTGTCACAGAGAGCTGGTCTAGTGATAACATGCAATTTAGCTCTCTCATATTTATATCAATAGCCTGATTTCCAAGTACCAAATCATCTCGAATGTCAAAGCCACAGATAATAAGAATGGCATTTTCATAATCAAAATGCCAAAGTGATTAAGAAAAACAAATGACAAATGTAATAAGATTTAGAGGGAAAATTAGAACCCTTAAGAATGGAAAGATATATAATCTTGGGTGCCTACAGAGACACTGTTATGATTTGTGTGACTTTCTGTTGCAACTTCATTCAACAAATTCCTTCCTGGACAGCCAGTCTGCATCTGGCACCATTGATGCTATGACCTGCTTTGTGTACAACTCCCTGGTATTTCATTCTGTCTGACAGGTTCCCAGTCATAGCCTCTGGGTTTACATGACAGAATAAATTAGAATTTCCTTCCTTTGGCCTCTGCTGATTGAAACTGGTGCAGAACTATGTGGAGCCTGATGGTCCTTGGGCATTTCTCATGCCAAGCATTCCTGTCCCACCAATCTTCCACCAGAGAACCCTGCCAATGGACGTCAGAGAGGTGTAGGTAGGGCTAGCCCTCCAAGAGAATGGGCCAGATCAATAGCAAAAGAAATGTTTGGAGAAAGCCACAACCCATAGCAAACTCAACAGCAAACTGGCCTCACCCAGGCCTGTCCTACCTTCCGGATGGTTGGGAATTTGCCATCATAACGGTAAAACCATCCAAAGGCTATAAGAACACAGAGCAAAATGATGAGGTACATTCAGCTGGGCCAGAGCATCCATGGAAGTTCAGGTCCCAAAGAATATGTGGCTTTGTGAGATGAAGGATAGTGTTGGCAGATCCAACAGCAAAGGCCGCCTTCTGACTCTCCACTTACCTGGCCTACTCTGGAGCAAAGCAAACCCAATACCACCTGAGAAAAGTCCCAATTCCCAGGTCCTGGAATGCCTCTCCCCAGGACACAGGTTTCAGAAGTCAGTGCCAAAAATCAGCAAGCAAACTCTTTGTGAAAGGATGAGCTTTCCTAGATCATGGATAGTCTTTGAACACAATGTCCCATTGGGAAAAAAAGAAAAGAAAAGAAAAAGCCCTCCCTATCTGACACCCTGTCCATCCAGCCAAGAAATGGCTCGAGACAAAAGCAAGCCTGGGTCTCTGCCAGACAGAACAAAACTGTCTTGTCTCACAGCACGGGTGAATCTTCCTATTTCAGCATGGAAAAAGGCAGTGGCCAGGGCAGCTCTGGAGGAACAGCAGTGGCAGCAGCGGGAAGATGTGCTCCCAGAACATGCCAGATAAGCAAGACACAGCCTCTATTCTTTCCCCAGAAGGCAGGATGCCAGAGCAGTATCCAAGACCTGAGCTCCCTGAGATCAGGAGTGATGGCTTAAATAATTGCCTACCCTTGGCCAGGAGTGCTAGAATGTGCTGTTAAAAGCCCCTTACTGCACCAAGTCCTGCTTCCTCAGTTGTTGGATTTAAGAGGTGTCTAGAGAGTTCTGGGGGAGAGGCCAACAGCAGGTGTGGACCCCTGGGGCTCAACCAGCAGTTCAGATGCACATGTGTCTAGTCACTGGTTTTTCATCCAGGCCATGTATATCCTGTCCTTAAAGTTTTGGGCTACAAAGGGGGTTGGAGGAGCTTCCCAGACTCTAGAGGTCCCCACCACAGGCTGGCCCCTTGGAGCCAGTGTCTACACTGCTTCAGGAGGAGGCAGACAGTACAAGCAGGGTAGCCAAGCCAGAGAGCAAAGCAGGGGTGCCAACCTGCTGTCCCTGCTCCTCCGTGCCTCCATCCAGGTCATCCGTAGGCTTGAGCTCAGCTTCCATTCCCTGATTATCTACTAGGGGAAAAGAGGAGCAAACTGGTGAAGTGAGAGAATGTGGGACATTGAGAAGCCAGAGATGCTTTCCTGAAGCCTGAGCACCTGTGACCAGCCTCCTCCAGGGCAGCTGTGAGGTCAGGGGCAGCAGCTGGGCTCAGAAGCCCAGAGCAAAATTTTTTGCTCTAGTTGGTGCACCAAGTGCTTTTAACCTCCGTAGCTTTAATTGCTCTTTCTGCAAAATGGACGAACAGCAAGGGGACTCTGATCTGATAGGGACATGAGAACAATTTTGAGGCATTGGGTTGAAAGTGGGCAGTGTGGTGAGAAGGGTGAAATATCTGTTAAACTCATTTGAAGGCCCAGGCTTGCCATGGGAGGATGTATCTTTCATCTTCTCATCATCTCTGCCTAAGGGTTCTGGATCTCCCGGGGAGTGTGATTTGCAGGCAGCAGATGGAGGCTTGGGAAGAGACTTCAAAAGGAAATGGGACACATTTCCTGTTAGGAAAACAGGAATTTTTAACCATATATGGGGAAAACAGCAAACCATCCATTCTAGCTATGTGTAAACTAGACTGGCTTCCCTGATACATGGTGTAAAAGCTTGCGGATGAGCAAGGTGTTAATACTTTGAAGTTTCGTTGTCCATCGGCCAATGAGAAGGCTGCACATTGTTTCTTTGTTTTCAGTGTTAATCACATTTACTCAGTGGGACAACACTGTTGTTCCCTTGCCAACCAACAGAAGACTAGTCATGCAATGGGAGTACAAAAGATTGCCTAACAGTTTTGGTAGGAAAAACTCTCAACTTCCTATCATGGGTCTATGGGAGGGGGGGGGGGGGAGAGAGTGGGGAGGGAAAAAGAGAGAGAAAGAAAGAGAGTGAGAGAGAAGGAAGGAAATAGCTGGAGATCTCTTACTTAAACCTTCTCATCTCCAAGTTCTGGGTCCTTTCATATATTCACTTGGCTTACACTATGACTAAGGGTCTTTTAGGGTCTTCTGTGACAGTGTGTGCTAGTTCTAAGGGGTTGGCAGAATGTTAGGGTGCTGCTAGCTGACCACAAGTAGATGAGTTTGAAGCAACTGTTTGAGCCCCTCTGGAGAGCCAGGATTGCATGTGTGTGTAGCCGGGTCGGAGGAATTAGTTCCATCTACGTGCTTAGGCTACACGCTTAAGTCTTAGCTCAAAATGTTCTATGCTCTCTCTTTTTTTTTTGTTCTAAAACACAGGGTTCACCTTCACAGGTCTAACCTGCTAGCTCACAGGGTTTCAATGTTGAAGGGTGATCGAGAAGGCTGTCTAGGATGTGGTCATGGGCCCAGCATAGCCTTGTTCATTCCGGCTTCCTGGGAATGGAGAGGTGGGAATTGAGCAAGGTCCTAGGAGACCTCACTGCACTTTCTGATTCTGGTAGGAGTACAAATTGGAGCTAAACTGTCAGAGCATATGGAGATGGATGGCTGCAGCCACTGCCCCAGATGAGCTGGAGTACTCAACCATCAATAGCATGCTTTGTGGCACTGCCTCAGAATATAATATGTGTATCCTGAACAATGACAAAAATTCTTGCTCCTTTTATTCGCAAAACAATTTGGTTAAAAAGTGTTAAAATAAATAGCAAGTGAAAGGTATTTATTTTCCATCATTCCTGAGAGGATGTGTTTGCTGTGAAACTGAGATCCAATTCCTAGGAAGGTACTACATTGACTCAGATTACCTTCATGAGAAGCAATTAAAATCGATTTTTCTCCTTCTGAAGCTCCTATTTCATTTGTAAGAGCAAATTAGCTTTCCATCTAAAACACAGCATATTCACTGGGAATTAAGCTTGGGCTTCATTTTCAGCTAATATTGAATGTCATAGGGTGGCTGATGAGAGTGTGCTTTGTCCTTCTGAGAGGACCATAAGATGACACTGTGTCCTGTGCCAGGAAGGACTAGACTGGGAGTTGTTTGTTTGCCCTGCACCAGGGATGGGTGAAATGGAACCATCCAGATGTTCTGCACTCTTCCTTAGTCTAAGTGACCTGTGTTAGAAAGCTTGACACCCAAGCTTGAGCCAAAGCTAGCCAGACCCTATTCAAGCATTCCAACTGGCTGCCACAAAACAGAAGTGGGGAATCTTGGTTCTCAGAACCAGATTCAGATTCACCTCCATCTACAGATTATCCGAGCCTGGGCCTGTGCTTATCAGTTATAACTCTAACCCATCTTGGAAGTGGAATACATACTCATCCAGGAATCCTAGACTTGTGATGGTCATAGCTTCCCCTTGTCTTACTTCTGATCCCTATCTCCCATGAGCTCATGAGGAAAAGAGACCCCCCTTTTTGCCCTAGCATCTTGAGCGTCTCTTAAAGAGGCATTCTGGAATCTTGATTGGGAGCAGATGACTAGGGAGGGAGCTAGTCGAGGTCTGGATTAAAACTGGAGATGAGCACATAGGGCCCACAAAAAGGAGATGGAAATGCTGAGGTCCCAGAAAAGTGCAGCCAGCAGACCACAGCTGAGGGATCTCATGGTCCTCTCCCTGCCTGCCTCTCTGAATCAGCATGACAGTGACCGATATGCTGCGATGTGGGTGATGGGGAACTTCAAGCCAGCTCCTCTCTGTTACCCATCACCTCAGATCAACAGCGCTCTTTCCTCTCTTTCTTATTTCACCCAGGCCATGTTCAGAATGTGGATGGAAGAGGATATGTCATCCATCAAGCTAAGTAAGATCGTCATCCCATTGCACACTTCCACTTTTGCACAGATCCCTATCCCTTATACAGCAGCGCAGGAGCCTGCCTGCTTTGTGCTGTGGAGGAGCTTTATAGAGTAGGCCCAGAACAAGGAAAATGGCCCCTGGAAGATGGCCCCTGACACATGGTTGTTCTCCATGTATAGAAGGAAGCTCAGAAAACCATGACTAGTTACCTAGGGAGATGGTGGTGACCCGAATTTAGCCCCCTTTAATTCCAGGCCCTAGAAAGTCAGTGCCTGCTCCCTACCCCCGCCATAATACATACACTTTGGCTTGCGAAGGGGTACTGGGTGCACCTCAGCAGTGATGGTTTTAGGCAAGATGAGTGGTTCCTTCGAGCCCCAGTCTTCTTCCCACTGCTTCTTAAACTTTTCTTCCTCTTCCACAATCCTAAAATGAGACCCCCACCCCCAAAGACTGTAATTGGAATAAGAACTTTGGTAGGCCCACCTTCTGCCTCCCAGAGGACCACAACCAGACCAAGCCTCATGGTTCTAGTGTTCTAGACCTGGTGTTCTAACCTGAATGTGAACAAAGCCTGAGCAATTGTATAAGACTATGCTCCAGTTGCCCTGCTATGGCAGGCTAAACTTAAATTAAGGATGGCTGCAAATAAGGGAGAATCTATGAACCAGGTCTGGAGGTCATCCCTGGCTGCCCGCACTCCTGTAAGCATGCTCATGTCCGTTTAGACACGTGTGTAAATACACACGGATCTGAGCTACTCACTGTTCCATCTCCTTCCGGTATCTCTCATTTTCTTCGGCTGCCTTCTGGGCGATTTCCTTTCTCCTTCTGAAATACACATGGGCGTGTGTGAATTTACATAAGACGAGTCAACCCTTCCCTATGGCTCATTCCTGATGGGAGAACAGTTTTAAGTTTTTCTGCAAACTCCCTTTCAAAGACTCCTGTATCAGCTCAGGGCGGGGGATGGGGGGGGGGAGGGGGAGATCAAGAAAGCTATCCAACAAAGTCTGGCCCCTGTGCTCCTGGATGGTTTTGTCTGGTGCTACTGTGCAGAGATTCTGAGTGCTACCAAAGCCAAGTGCCAGGTTTTCATACCATCCTCTAAAGTCATGGGTGAAGTGACTGAAGACAGGAAAGATTTAGACTGAGTGAGGGTCCTACCAGGCACCAGAGCAAAGCTAGAGGCTGCTAACTAGGTGTGGACCCTCCAGGCTGACTCTGTGATACAGAAGATGGACACATCCTTTGTCTTCCTATTCCAAACACTTATTCAGTGCTGAGAATGTATCACATTTGTATTTTGACAGTAGTTTCTGATTTATGAATTGCACACCTCATTGATTCTCTAGTCCATTATTTCAACCACCTAAGGGGTGAGACACTTACCATCATAGGTATGTGGCCATACAAGAACTCCCAGGAACTCCTGGAACCAGATTGTCTGAATGTGAATCCTAGCTTTGCCTTGTGTGGCTTTAGTGATGACTGGCTTTACCTCTCTGAGTCTCAGCCTCTAAAATGGGTTAATATTACCTACTTTCCAGGGCTAGTGGAGGAATTATATCTTAAAATAAGCCAAGGTCCTAATACAGCACACAGGAGGTATTCAACATGTCCAGAGACCAGAGATCTCCTCAGCAAAGTGCGAGGAGCAGGTGGTTTGAAGCAGAGGATGGAAAGGTGGACCTGCCCTTGGGCCCATGTGGTCTGAGGACAGATCTCATTCAGACTGTGGATGAAATTGGCCCAGGTGGAATAGAAGTAGACAGGAAGAAAGTGGATGGGATTTGGGAGCAGAATTGGGTGGGGTGCCCTGGGTAGGCTACTCACTGCCGCTCCATCTCCTGCTGCTCTTGGAGAATCTTGCTGGACTCCATGGCCAGCCGCTTCTGCATCAGGAGCTCCTGACGCTGCAGCTCCCTCTGCCGCACCTCCTCCAACCGCTCCCGATCCGTCATGAACAGCTCCCGGCCCTAAGTGGGAGGAAGAGAGGTCCCTTGTTCAGTTCCCCAGGGGAATTTGAGTATTTACTGCCCAACATAAAAGTGGTCAGTTCTCTTGGTGCCATGCATCATGACTCTGGTGGTCTCTGTCTCAAACTTCTTGTAGGGCAGAAGTCTTTTCCTTCTGCTGTCAGGTCTTCAAAAGAGAGCTTTGGCCCTTCTTTAAAAAAAAAAAAAAAAGCTATTTTTTCCCCCTTATCTTTAAGTAGTTGTACAGATAAATTGGCCTTTCTGGAGAGTCTGTCACAGAGATCAGGGGTCAGGTGAAGGTCTGGAGTTGGGGACAGGGGTCATGGGGTTCCCATCACCTCATTCTGGACTTACAGCACCAGCTACAATGGAGATGGTCAGGCTGCGGCTACTCTTCAGCACATTCACAGCCTGTAAAGACAAGAGGGATTGTCAGTTGGACTGAAAATAAACCAGAGCAGTCCAGTCAGAGAGCATGGAAGATCCCAGATACTATGGGGTAAGAAGTAGAGTAGGGACATGATAATGATGATGAGGGGTTATAGGTTAAGGTCTCCTCATCTTACCTCCTTGTGGTCCAGGTTGGAGAAGTCGATGCCATTGACTTCGACAATCTGATCTCCTGTCTGATGGAGAAACAAAGTAGGATCAGGGTGTTGGCATCATCCTTACATTCATCATCTCCAGGAAGGCCTCTGCCAGTTTGCCAGACATAGATGGCAGTTTTTCAGATGGCTGAACATCAACCCTTCTTGCTGAGAAGACCGGTGGAAAGCTCTAATGGGGGCCTGGGAGAGCCTCAAGTTCATATGTGCAACCTTTACATCCTATCCTATCAGCTAGCAAATACTAATTTCTTTGGCTGAATTCAGACGTTTGCTTTGCAAATTTAGTTCTCAGACACAGGAGGCATTGGGCATCTCAGGTAGCAGAGGCTGTTGTTTTGGCATCATCCTAACAACAGTTAGGGCTAATGTTCATTAATCATTATGTACCTAGCACAGATATAGCATATGTATCATTAATTTCATGCACACAATAACCCAAGAAGGAAGGCTCCCCATTTTACATATGAGACACAAGGACATGAAGTAAATAACTTGTCCAAAGAAGAGGTCAAGAGTTTCAGCTCTGGGGCTGGGAATGTGGCTTAGTGATAAGAGTGCTTGCCTAGTATGCATGAAGTCCTGGGTTTGATTCCTCAGTATCACATAAACAGAAAGAGCCAGAAATGGCACTCTGTCTCAAGTGGTAGAGTGCTAGCTTGAGCAAAAATAGTCAGGGAGAGTGCCCAGTCCCTAAGTTCAAACCCCAGGACTGGAAAAAAAAATAGTTTCAGCTCTGGCATCAAACCACCTGGGTTTGAATCCCAGCCGTACCATATCAGGTACACAATCTTGGGAAAATCACATACATTCTCTGGTTCTGTTTCCTCATCTGTAAATGGGGTACCATAAACAGTACCTAAACCTCAGAGTTTCTATAGGGATTAAAACACAGTCCAGTGTAAATAAACACAGAATGTCAATTTGGTTGTTACTAAAACATTCCCAAGCTCAGGACCGATGACTTTCAGAGCTGGAGACCACTGAAGAGGAGTCAGATATCACCCACTCTGAAGCCTTCTATTGGAGAGTGAGTTCTAATGAGCAATCATTAGCCAGTGATGACCAAGAGAGGGCTATGTGATCACAGTCTGACCCTACTGCCACTGGGCCAGCACCAGGTCACTCACCTCCAGCCCTACTTCCGCAGACAAAGATCCAGGCTTCACATGGCTGATGAAGATGCCAGGCTTCTGAATAGGGCCACTGGAAATGCTGTGGGAGGTGGGAATGTGGGTGAGGCTCTGCTCTCTTGTCATCTGGAGTCCTTGCTCTTTCTCAGTGGCCTGCCTGTCACCTGAGTGTCTAAAGCTCAGACAATGGGATACTCACAAGCTCAGGATCCAAGGAGGCCCTGTGTGTCTCTCTCCCTTCCAACATGTCTTCAATTGCTACCCTGGGCAATAGCCTTAGAAAACTACTTGTGATTTTTCCCTCTATCCAGTTCCTCACCCAATATACCATATGTCTATTTCCTGTTTCTGGAACTTCCTGTCATCCCTTATGACTCAAATTCATCTCCTCTATTAGATTTTTCACTTGACTCATTTTGTATCCCAAGATTAAGGATGGCACTTGTACTGTTATTTTCCCCTCCTAGATCACTAATTGATCACAACACTCTTCCCCACCAAACTAGATACAGAGTTAGAATCTTTGCAGAACAGTACCATAGGCAGCCATTACTAATTGATTAGAGATGGCACAGATAGGAAACCTGTTTTCCACCCCTTGTTCAGATGAAGCTCTATCAGAGTCCTTGTTACCCTATGTTGTAACTACACTAAGTTATCATTTTCCAGAAAGAAAGAAGTTTTATTTTTTATCATTTATAAAGGTGTTAAGTGATGTGAATTAAAGAAAATGGATTAATAATAATAGCTAATATTTATGAAATGAAGTATTCCAACTTCCTAGGGCTGGTAAGACTTGAACCCATGATTGGCAAAAGGAGTTACCAGCACTCAGTCAATCGGGTTAGGAATCTTCATTAGCTGTACGGCGACTGATCCCCACTATAAAGACAGTAAATACCAGTCCCAATTATAGCTTAGGGGAGGTGATTTATAGTAAAAAACCACAAAGAAGCCACTCACAGGTGGCCAGCTATTTTGCAAGGCTCAGCTAGCTGGCAAGCAAGCAAAAAACAGAAGCTGGATAGGCAGTTAGCCTTGAGCAAATCTCTGCAATTTTAGCTGGTGCAGCAGTTCTTGATAAAACTGCAACTGTCTCATTCCCAGGCCTAGGGTAGTGACATTTCTTACTGTCTTTCTCAACTCTACTTCTTCAAAGTTTTTCTGGGCTGGAGTCTCTCATCTCAACCTGTTTTGTTTTGTTTTGTTTTTTTTGGTCCGGTCGTAGGGCTTGAATTCTGGCTTGGGCGCTGTCCTTCAGCTCTTCAGCTCAAGGCTAGCACTCTACCACTTGAGCCACAGTGCCACTTCCGGCTTTTTTCTTTTCGCTTATGTGGTATTGAGGAATCGAACCCAGGGCCTCAGGCATGCAAGGCAAGCGCTCTACCACTGAGCCACCTTCCCAGCCCTCTCAACCTGTTTTCTATACAACTAGCTTACTGCCTACCAGACATTAAGCTTAGTACTGTACTTCCTTCATAAGCCTATGAGGTGGATATTAGTACTCCCAATTCACAGAGGGAAAAAAAACAGGCTTAATTCAAGGTCCTGGATCTCAAGTATAGAATTGACTTCTGAGTGGCTATAGCACCTGAAGGCTTAACAAGTCCTCATGAGGCCTTAAGCCTGTTTGGAAATCCCTGCCTAACTCTTAAGAAAGTGCACAGGTAATTGGTGGTAAGGGAACTATGACAGAAATGAACAGGTGGACAGTAATTCAAGGGCTCCTCCAAGGAATGTGGCTCTGCCTTTTAGCCTCACTTTTCTCCTCTTTAAAATGGAACCTGTCCCTCTGGCTCTATAAGTGCTTGTGAATCTCAAAGGGGAAAGAAAAGAGGCACGATAAGATCATCATCACTTATATAGGATAAGTCCCATGACAAGTGTCCTCAGACGCCGTGGTGAGGAAGGGGAGAGATGCTGGGGGTCTGATGTGGTATACTGGTTGTGACTGAGCCTAGGAGTGTGAATGCCACCCACCTGCAGCCAAGGCCTCGGGAACCCACCAGGCTGATGAAGACCTTCTTCTCTTTGCTTGTTCGACTCCCAGGGGAGCCTAGACTGCCACGTCCACCCTGGAAGGAAGAACAGAAACAGAGTTACTGGGTATCTATGTGCATGAAAGTAGCCCTTGAGCCTGTGAGACCTGGTGAACACTGATGAATTCCCACAGGCTAGAGGGCCACAGTGCTCCTTAAGAGGTGAGTCTGTACGAGCTCTGCCAACTAAGGGTCCACCGCCCACACAGGCATTCTGGGCATTCTGGGAGCTGTGTGAAGCCCTTGAGGACATATCCCCAGAGCAAGCTCTCCATTCCATAACAGCTGTCCATCCTGGAAGACCAGCCTGTCCATGCCCCATCATAGGTAGCCCTGGGCCTTACCCCAGATTCGGACACAAACTGATCCACATACTGCCATTTGAGGGGCTCATCAGGAGAGCTGAAGGGAAGGGGAAATAAAAGGATGATGGTTAGCGAGAGATGTTCAAGGAGCCGCCTCCAAGTCCAGATCTGCCATGGTTGTAGCCTTTGCCCAGGAGCAGAGCTGGCCTGGAGCCTGGGGGTAAACCCAGACCCCAGGACTTGGATGCTATGGGAAGACGGTTCTGCTCACCTCTTCACAGGTATCAGGCCAATGTCTGTGGGAGAAGACACAGGTTAGAGTGGACCCTCTGTTCTTGGGGCTGTACACTTCCACCTCCTTCCTCCCAGCCCCAGCCTCACTCACGTCTCACTTTGATGGACACAGTCTTCTTGGTGCGTATGAGGTTGATGACTTCTTCGTGTGTGCAGGAGGAGATGGAATATCCATTGATCCGGACGATTTCATCCCCTAACTTGGCCAAGAGAGAGCAAATGAGCCCCAGGGGGAGGGAGTGGCAGGTGGCAGGCAGGTCTTTGACCAGACACTCCTGGCCTGCTCTCTAAACAAGGGACTGACAGCCATGCTGCCACCAGGAACAACTTTGATGTATACCCTAGTACTTCATCCCAGGCAACCTTCCCTCCGTCAGCCTGAGGGACCCCAGGGCAGACAGCACTTCCAAGTAGTCTTTCTTACAGATGAGGAAACCAAGAGATAGGATGAGATACTTAGGTAATGGGCAGCAGGACTGGAATAGGACTCAAGACTATGCTTTTACTCTGGTGCTCCCTTCATCCCATTGAGGAACCCATGCAAATCCAATCTCCAAGCAGCCCTACCAGGCCTTTGTCCCACCCACTCTTGTGTGGATGGCTCTCCATCTCCGTTAATTACTTCAGCATCGCAATTGAGTAGGAGTCAAGGCTTCACCCAAGCTCATACCAACACAAATACACAATCTTTCCTTTTCCATTTGCAGAACATTCAATGAACATTTTGTGGTCCCAATCTCTAACTTCCTATTATAGGAACAACAAAGAACAATGAATGAGCCTTGGTATCCAAATGTCCTGGGTTCAAATCCCTGCTTTTTTTTCTTATTAACTTGTGATTTGGGGCAAGGTTTTGAACTCTCTGAACCTCAGTTGCCCTTACCTGTAAAATGGGAAGTACTATGAAAATTAAGCAAACTCGTGCAAGTGTCTAGTACATACTTAGTGCTCAATAAATAGTTGCTGTTGTTACCATTATGCCTGAGCACATAGTATGCTGCTCAGCTCTCTCTTCTCAGAGCTTAGGTCATTGTAGAATGAGAGGAAAAGTCCATGAGGACTCAGACCATGGGGTCTGTAGAGTTTGAGACCTGCAAGACCAACTCCGGACACAGACCATAATGAAATCAATCACTGATGGACACTACTACTTCTACCTCATGGATCAGTCCTGTCATGCCTCATGGAATAACCAAATTGCTGAAAGACCTTCCTGTATTGTATTGGATGATGATACTGAGAGTCAGGAGACTCAGAAGGGTGAAGTGACTTGCTCAAGCCCATCCAGCAAGCAAACAGGGCTGCTGGGAATTGTAGTCAAGTCTTCTTGACAGAAGACAACAAATGTTGTCTCTTGGGCTCCTGGAAGCAGAGAAGAAGGGCATGTGGCCAAGCTTGGCTGCAGTTCTCTGCATCTTGCCCTCTCTGGATCCCTATCACTTATCAGTTCCCTCCAGACTCATGGGTCAGCAGAGATTGCCCTGTCCATTGTACAGAGGACAACAGGGCACAGAGGATCATTCTCTAGTCCTAGAATATACAGTCTGCCCTGTGCAGGCAGAGGACAAACAAAAAGACAGAACACTCTTGAAGAAAACTGAAAAGTATCCAGTAGGCAGCAAGAACAGATGAATGGAGCCCTAAGATTAGGTCCAATTGAAGGGTTCAAGCCCTCATAAATAATTAGAATCTCTAGTTCAGTCAGGCTGTCTGAATCTGCCCTTCCCCTGCCTTTCAGAATCTTCTCCCTGTTTCCTTCAGACTTGAGAAACTTGAACCTTGGACAGGTCAATGGATGCAAACATTTTTCTCCAAGTTTCTCTCTGTTGAGTTCCCTGTTTTGCTCCTAAAGGGAGTTTGCCCAGGTCCCCATTAAAATGATTCCCATAAAAGCCTGGTTTGAGTTGCGGGATCAACTTCCCTCTCCCCCTAGCTACTCATAGAATCCTGCAAAAGGGCCTTTGTGCAGAGAGCGTGGAGACATGATGATCTGAGGGACAGAGGGGACAAAGGGACAAAGAAGGACTGAACCTGTCATCCCCAGAAAGGGTACATAATTCATAAGCCTAGAAGCAGCTGAGAAGGAGAAAGTCTGAGTTTCATTAAATTCTTCCTGCCCCCAGCTATGGAGCACTGCTGAAAACACTCTTACTGGGAGGAGAGCTTGTCCTGGAAAAAAAAAAAAGAGAGCCCAGCTGACGCCAAGAGAGGCACTCATTATGTTTTCTCCCCTGGTTGAGTTTCTGGGCTGGAAAATGTGCCACAGAGGAAAGGAATAATGAAGGGGCTGAAATTTCAGCCGTCACCAGGAGCTGTGAGACAGGGATTTAGAACAAAGCAATGTCTGTCAGCTCTCTGTCTCCACCCCGTACTCCTTGGTGTCTGGAACCATTAGAGCTGGAGGCCCCTGGAGCCCCAGGCTGCGCCATTGATTGGGATACTGATAATAGTCACTATGGAAACTCCTTTACCTGGACAGACAAAAACCCCAGACCTGACTGCGGGGGAGAGGCACTTGGGGTGCTGAAGAGAGATCTCTGGCTGGCACTAAGAAACTCGGGTTCAACTTCTAGCTCTGCCACTTACTGGCCTCTGAACCTGTATTAATTTATAAAATGAAGGTGACTCATCTAACACAATAATGAGAAATGAACATAAGCCCTTGTCTAGTCCACAGAGTGTAGGTGTCGACTAAATCTCCCTTTCTCTGATGATTTATCAAACACAAGGCATCTACCTGCCAGGCACCGTAATTGTACTTTCTAGTTTTTGCTTGTTCCTCCTACAACCTGATGAGGTAGATAGTTTTATCAATCATTCCATTTGACAAGTGAGGAAACAGAGGTCTTAGGTCAGATCACTAAAGTTGTACAAGGAACAGAATGGTCCTTAAGGTAGGGTAGTCCAGTTATAAAGTCCCTGCTTTTAGCATTAAGCTTCAGTTGCCCAGACATGACCACATCTCTCCTTTGAAAGAAGGAGAGGGGGAGGACAGGAGACAGCAGCAGCCGGGACAAGGTGGCATCAGTACCCAAGCTTGATTTAAGGAAACAGGCCTGGATCCTGATTCTGTAAGCCTGCAAGTGCATGTCAGAGCATGCTGGCCTCGTCCTCTCGCAGATGCTCAGGAAAGAGAGTGGCCTTTGGCCCTATTCTCTCCGACTCTGCTTATTTACCTGAAGTCCAACACTGTCTGCTTGACCGCCTTTGATGAGGTGGGAGATGAAGAGCCCACAGCCAAACTCAAGGCCACCACGCACGCTGAGGCCAAGGCCTTCGGGGTGCAGTCGATCCAGACGTACTTCCTTTAACTTCCTGTCATGGTGAGGTGATGGGCAGTCAGTGATGGCCCAGCTAGGATCTGGCTGTCAGAGTAGCCTTGCCCTGTCCTGGGGGTTAGCCCTTCCACCCTTCCTCTCTCTCCTTCTTCCCTGCCATTAGACTGGTGGCTCTCTCCACACCTGGAGCGCCGAGGGGTCAGTTGGTCATATTCCACCTGGTGCTTCAGCGGAATCAAGGGTCGGATGGCATCAAACAATGGCAGGCGGTTGGGCTCATTGATGACCAGCTTTAGATCCCCCACAAGCACTGTGACGTCCATGGTCCTGCGAGAAATGGAATGCCAGGAGCTTCATCCCTGCTCACGACCGACCTGTGTGTCCCAGTCTGGGTCCCATCCCCTGGGGCCAGGCCTAGGAATTGAGGAGAACTCTCCTGAAAAATCCCAGAACTCCTACCGCTAGGCCAGATGTTGGTGATGTCTCTCATACTCTCATCTTCCATCTGGTCTACTGGTAAAAATCTAGAAATTCTGCCATCACACTACCTCTCACATGCCTTCACACCATTCACACCTTCACACAGCATTGCCAGCTGCCCGCCAACGTGCTCACTCAATCTTTTCTAAGCCACTCCTCTTCTAAAAACTCTTCCATGGCTTCCTAGTGTTCAGAGGACACAATTGATCCTCCTTGGCAGGCTCAGAGGCCTCCACAGCCTGTCACCAACGAACCTCTCCATCTTATGTCATCTTTGTACTCCAAGTCCTGTCCCCCCCCCCCACATTAGCTGTCACTCCCCATTCATGCCTGTGTGTCCACACTTCTGCACCTGTACAGATGCTAGACTCTCAAACTGGGATTCCTTCCAGATACACCACCTATCAAAATCCTCTTTGTTCTTCCCCAAATCTTCTTTGTTCTGCCCAGCTCAAGCCTTCCTAGCACCTCCCTGCCCCAGCAGTTGGAAGTGAAAACTATACACTTGTATTTTATCTCCCCTTAACAGTTATTGTATTCTAACACATTAGGATTCTTGAGGGTTTTGGTATCAGTCCATCTCCCCCAACCAGGCCTGGAGTTACTCACTCTGATTCTCACAGCAGGAGCTTCAAGCTGAAATACTGAATGAATCAAAAAGCAAGTGGGAGGGCTGGGAATGTGGCTCAGTGGTAGAGTGCTTGCCTAGCATGCATGAGGTCCTGAGTTCAATTCCTCAGTACCACATAAGCAGAAAAATAATTTAAAAAAATTTTTAAAAAAGAACAAAGCAAGTGGGAGACCTGAGACACATGATTTATGACAGGAGTCACTGGCCTTTCTCGTTCTGTCTCAACAAGCATGCTCTATTGAACCTCTCTTGCTACTTGATGAACTTCCTCATCAGATTATGATCTGAAAGTAAGGGTAGGTCTTTGTTCACCAGAACACCCCTGCTCCCCAGCCCAGAGTGAAACACAAAGTATGTATGCAAACATTTATGGAAACTGTGAATAGGCCAATGGTATGTCTGGGCTCCACTATCTCGAGTTCCTTTCTTGAACATACCCACAGGAGCCAGCCCACACACTTACTGGTGGTACATCCGTAACACATCATAGAGATAGTCCTTCTCTGCATCATTTTCAATCAGAAAATCCACCTGCGAAAGCAAAAGGCAAGATTACAGCTCCAGACCCAGCAGAACCACAGCAGACCCAAGGAGGAGACCATCAAAACCTTCCCAGTAGTTGTTTAGGCTAAGGCTGTGAGGAGAGGAGGAAGCCAGGGGCCAGGCTCATATAGCAAACCCACAGAGGTCTTGGGGAGTGCTCAGGAGTGCCTCTCTGCACAGCCACAGTGATCAGGCTAAGCCTGGACCCCAGGGAGCATGACATACGTATACACACATAGGGATATATACCCATACATATATGTACATATAACCTCACATGACAGGACACACGCCCACGTTAGTGGTGTCACTCACGCCCCACTACTCTGTCACCGATATCTGGAAGCAGTCCACTGTCTTACCTGATGGTGGCTGTAGTGCCGGATAAATGCTTTCAAAAAGGATTTGGGCCACTCACTCAGATAGCACATCCCACCCTACAGAAGCACTTGATCACTCATTTCCAGCATGACTTCTTTGCCAGGGAAATTCTTCTCTGTCACTTCTTGGGGTTCTGTCCACTAGGCAGTCTCCTGTCCACTCTTCTTCCCTCCCAGGTCCCTGCATGTTCCCCCCCCCCGCCCCCCCCCCCAGTAGAAGGGTCAGGTTACATCATTTGCTGACGTCAATGGCTGTGACTCCAAGGTAAGGTTCAGGAGCTGTTTCATTAGCACCTCAACTCCAGGGGAGCTAGTGAACCAGAAGCCCCACATTCAACTCTTTGGAACAACTCAGTGTGAATCTCTATGGGTTGTATCTTTATCTCTCTCTTCAGCCCAAGACAGAGTAGTAGGACAAGGCAGGACACTGAATGGGTCCTGGGGTCTGTTGAGTTTCCTGGCTCAAGGGCGTGGACTCTGCCTCAGCCCTCTGCAGAGAGAAGCTTCTTCTACCTGCTTGGTGCCCAGAGCAGGGATAGGAGAGCTTCACTTCGTCTGGGTGTCTCAAGGGTTCTAGAAGCCCAGGGTCAGTCTGTCCCAACATAGGGAAAACCTGCAATGTCCAACCCTTGGGTTTTCTTGCCTGGGTAGGGAATGTCGGTGTCCAGTTTTGATCTAGCGATACCCTCTTTTCTTAAAAATCAGGCTGAGCACTTCACTGAACTCAAACCCAGGAGGCTTCCCTCCAGAGACTCACGTTGTGGGTGCCAGCTTTTCCTACAGGCCACTCCTTCCTCCCTCCTTGCTGCAAGGAGCTCCCGCCAGCTAGAATTGGAAACAGCACATCCTTCTATGACTGGTACTTAACTCTAAGGGTGCTAGGCTGGGCTATGCATCCCCACACCACTCATATGGGCATTTCCCAAAACACCCATCGGTACCAGCACACAGCCTAAGCTCTTGCTACCCACACTGCCCTGACCTTCATGAGAGGTGTGGGGACCTCCTCCAGTCAGGCCTGGCCCATACACATTGGGTTATGATGCCGAAGTCAGAGCAGAGAAAGATCTAAGTCCCTAGACTGGCCAGAAATACATTGGTAAACAACCATCATATCATCGTTTGCTTAACAGGATCTCTTGCACTTAAAGCCAAAGCTAAATCCAAATCATTTATTCTGACATATTCAAGCTTTACCTCCTCTCCTCCCACTTTTCCTGACTGTGTGGTGGCTCTTTTTAGCAGCCTTTGTCTCTGCTGTCCCTCTGCTCCCTCCTTCCTATATGGCTAGTGTCCTTCTAAACAGTCATTCCATGTTTACCCAAACAGCTCCCACTCCCATCTTCCAGAGATATTTTGAGTCTGTCATTACATTGCTAAGATTTTTTTAATTTAAGGGTTTAAAAAAATGCTTGTCTGTCTCCTTTGCTTGATAAAAACCTCATGAAGGGAAGGATGAAGTCTGTTTTGTTCTAGATCCCTCATTCCTAGCACACTGTAAGTGTCCCCTAGGTAAGAACTGAATAGATTTGTTCCCTGCCTATACATGTATACACAAACTATACACATAGTTTGTGTGCGTGTGTGTGTGTGTGTGTGTGTGCGTGTGTGCACGTGTATGGCAACAGAAGGATAGGGAAGTGATCTTTGCAGACTCTACAGGACCCTTATGGCACCAGAAGCTTTTCAGGGCTTTATGTCCGCCCTGCCAGCCCTATAAGACCTATGTTCCCAAGTGGTTTTGGAGAGAGGATGGAAAATATGGAGTTCACTTATTCAAGGCCACACAGCTCACAAGCAGAGCAAAGATCTGGAGCCACATCTGACTTCAGTCTACACTCTTGCTGCTGTACCAACCGGTCCAGTGGGACTCAGGCCTATCAAGGATAGAACTCCCAAGGCCTCCTCAGGCCAGGAATTCCAGCCTTTGCTTTGTATGACATCTCTCTTCTCCGCCACACTATTGAGAAATCTTTTATAGCCCTGGATGTAGTTCAGTGATAGAGTGTTTGCAGGAAGCACGAAACTCTGGGTTCCTTCCTCAACCCCATCCAAACAAAAAGGGAGGGGTGGAGAAAAGAAAGATGGCAGGAAGGAAGAAGGAAGGTAGGAAGGAAGGGAGACAGAGAAAGAGAGAGAGAGAGAAGGTAAAGAAGGAAAAAGAAAGGCTTGATTCATAATGAGGAAGAAAAGATAACTTTTTATTTGCTTATTTGTTGAAAGAGGTTCCCACTGTATAGACCAAATGAGCCTCAAACATGTAATCCTCCTTCCTTAGCCTCCTGAATCCTGGGAGTATAGATGTATACCACTCCACTCAGCTTCACAACTTTGTTATTGTTTTTCTTTGTTTGTTTATGGTTTTTGAGGCAGAGTGGTACCTCAGGCTGGCCTGGGATTCATTGTAAAGTTCAAGCTTGCCTTGAACTTGTGATCCTCTTACCACAGCCTCCAGAGTGCTGGGATTATAGGTGTGAACTACTGCTCCCAGTTTTAGAACATCTTCTAAATGTGTGCTCTTTAGGGGAAGCATAAAAATCCCCTCTGCTGTGGTAAAATGAGGATACCCTGACCAAAGAACCTCTAGCCTAGCCATGGTTGTGGCTAGTGACAGGAGGAAAAGGACAGAGAAAAGAGTCTATTGTTGGTTTAAGCCTCAGAATTAAAATTCTCTCCCATCCCTCTTTGCCAAAATACCTTCCTATATACTATTTAGGTTTAAATAGTGAAGACTATCTTCAGAAGACCACTTTATTGTACACTGGTTGGAAAGCTGAGATAGAAAACGAGAAGAATTTGAGGCCTGGAATTCTGCTTTTCTGCCTTCCTTGGGAAGAAAGTGGACATGCTGGAGGTGGTCTCTGTAGGATAGAGCCCATTTCTGGGGGTCCCAGGCTCCTGGCCATTGTAGGCAGGCTTCCAACACTGACTGCTACATCTGCAGAACCTCATCCTAAAACTATGTCCTGCCAGTCCCCTTCAGAGGCAGCCTGTAAGATTCAGCTCCTCAGCCTTATGACCCTGCGCTCATTGGCAAGGTCACTCAAACCTTGCCCTTGTCTGCTTCAGGAGGATGGTCTTCTCCACTGTTCACATGGGCAAACTTCTCCCCAGACACACTGTACCTCCCTTGTCTCTACCTCCATAGCCAAGCTGAGCACCCCCCATAGGACTCATCTCTACACCAAGCAGTTGGGGTAGTAGATCTGGTCCACTGGACTACTCTCTAAAGATGAATTTAAGTGATTATCCAACTGGAGATTTTACAATGGAGGGACCCAAAAAGTGTCTCCAAGAAGACTCAAGGAAATAGTTCTGCTTTGTTCTCTGAACTCACACTCACACCTCACTCTGCAGGCTTTCACAAATACTGAAAACAGAAAGAGTCTTCTGGAAGCTTGAATGTACAATAACAATGCCACTGTTACCCAAACTATACTTTTATGTACTATTTTTTCCTCCTAGAATTCCACATAACACCCAAAGATCATTTTGGGGACCCCTCCACTCTAGGGTGCTTTGTACTGTTCTTAGATACATATCAAGCATTCTTTCCATCATGATCTTGGTTTCTTTGTGGTGCCTGACACCGTGCTGTGCACACAGGTATACAGAATCCGTTGAATGACAAATGAACTCCACTTGCTCAGGATGACAGCCTTCCTTCTACCCACTTGGCTCAGTCCTGGGCTACCACTTTCTGGTCATGCCTCAGGATACATCTACCAGAACCTTCTTGGATCTGTCTGGTCGAAGTGCACTTTCAGCTTGTCCACTCCAGATAGACTGCTCTACTTCCTTCCATCTGAGCCCTAACTTCATTTAAGGTAAGATCCAAATTCTTCTAGAGAATTTGCCTCCTTGTCTGCCTCCTTTCTGTGGCTCTTGGCTAGCTTGCTTATCTGGGTTACACTCTGTCACGTCTGAGGTACTTTACAACCTTCTTAACTCCCAACAACCTTTAGGGATAAATATCTTTATCTCCATTTTATAGATCCAGAAATAGAGGCTCAGCAAAATGGCAGAGCTGAGACTCTAGTCTATCCCTGTTGGCACTGAAACTTTTGACTTTTTTTCAACCCACATAAATCCATTTCAATCCAATATGGTATCCACAGATACTGCAGGGTGCATTTTCTTTTGGGTGTACTAATAGACTTTTTTTTTTTTGGTCGGTTGTGGGGCTTGAACTCTGAATCTGGGCTTGGGTGCTGTCCCTCAGCTCTTCAGCTTAAGGTGAGCACTCTACCATTTGAGCTACAGCGCCACTTCCAGTTTTATGGTGGTTTATTGGAGAAAGGAGTCTCACGGTCTTTCCTGCCTGGGCTGGCTTTGGACTAGATCCTCAGATCTCAGCCTCCTGAGTAGCTAAGATTACAGGTATGAGCCATCAGCGCACTAATAGACATTTATCAAACATTTCCTATATACAAGATACTAGTTTTCTTCCTCCTTCTCTTCCTCCACTTCCTCCTCCTCCTCCTCCTCTGCCCTTCCTTCCTTCCTTCCTTCCTTCCTTTCTTTCTCTTTCTTTCTTTCTTTCTTTCTTTCTTTCTTTCTTTCTTTCTTTCTTTCTTTCTTTCTTTCTTTCTTTCTTTCTTTCTTTCT